CGACTCAGGGGGGGAAAAAAGAGAGTTTGGGGAAAAAAAGAAAAGATACAGATGCAAAAAAAGAAAGAGATGCTTAAAAAAAAAAAAAAAAAAAAGAGAAAAAGAAACAGATGCTTATTTCTTAGCCGAATGCAATGCACTGAGTAGTTTTTTTTGGCTCGTATCGTTGTTCTGCAGTAGGGATTTTAGTTCTTGTATTGAGCTTGTTTATCCTGACTTGAACTACCCGTCTTCCCCCGAACATAACGCATATGCGTTGTATTCGAGTTTTCGAAAGAAAAAAAATTAGACGATTCGAATAGAATAGAACACGTGCGCTGTGTTATTCGAATGTAGAGCTGGTCGAATAGAGCCCGTTTGCGTTGTGTTATTCGAATAGAAAGCAACGTCTGCATTTTTTGTATTCGTTTACAAAGCATATGCGTTATGTTTGGTGGAAGACCGTAGTGGAGTGCGCTCTCTGTGAGCGCCTTGGGCAAGCCAGCCAGCAAGAGCGATGTCGATCAACCGGCAGCATATGCGTTCTGTTCGGGGGAGGACGGTAGTGGAGTGCGCTCTCTGCGAGTGCCGGGGAAGGACGGTAGTGGAGTGCGCTCTCTGCGAGTGCGGAAGAAGGGGACGGACGCAATGCTGAGGGAAGACCCCAATAAAAGAGAAAGGAATCACAAGCGAGGTAAAAACATGAGAATTTTTTCTCTTCTGTTTAAATCAGAGAACTTATGAATGAAAAAAATACCTATTTTGAAATGAAATTTCCAAACGCAATACGATTATTATAGAAGCCCCAAATGGAGTAAGCTGCTCCTAAAAAATCAGTGGAGAACAGAAAAAAACGTTTTTCTCTGTCTTTTTCTCTGTTTTTCTCTGTTTTTTTCTGTTTTCCTCTGTTTTTCTCTGTTTTTCTCTGTTTTTCTCTGTTTTTCTCTGTTTTTCTCTTGTGTGTGTATGTGTGTGTAATAAGCTGCTCCTAAAAATCAGTGGAGAAAAGAAAAACGTTTTTCTACGTTTTTCTCTGTTTTTTTTGTCTTTTTCTCTGTTTTTCTCTGTTTTTCTCTGTTTTTCTCTGTCTTTTTCTCTGTTTTTCTCTGGTGTGTGTGTGTGTTCGTAATCGTTGTTCTCTGTTTTTTGTTTTTTGTTTTTAAAGAGGGGACTTTTTTTGAAAAGAATGATCGAAAAGAGAGCGGAGCGGGGTTTTAACAAATCAATTGACCCGGAGGTGCTGAGTCCATTACTCAGCTCTTCGCCTTAGGCTGAAAAAAAACGAGTTCCGCATCCCATCAATCCTACATACCTTTCCAAAAAAAGAAACACACAATTGTAAAGCTCAACCAATCAGCTATTTACTGTATTTCATCTCCAGAACAAACTGCCACAAAACGCTATTTTATCCACGGACGGAGTCAAAGCCATGGCCTATTATGACCCCCCCCTTAGTTACTTCCTACTTCACGTTGTGTGTGGGAACTCTAAAAGTTTCTCCCCATGACGCAAAGGGGTAAGTAACTACCCCCTTCACTGCCAGGTGCGGGCCCTCCCAAAGGCCGTATCTAAAGGATGTCCCCTGCTGAACTCGATGAGCTCAGGATAGCTTGAGACCTTGACCAGCAAAGGCTGGATCAGCCCAAGCACATCTGAATTTGGGGCTCCAATTCTCTTCGTTCCAAAGGAAAATGGAGAGTTCAGAATGTGCATAGATTATCGGGGTCTCAATAAGATCACTAGGAAGTCGATAGAGCCCCTTCCTAGGATCGACGATCTGTTGGACATGATGCAGGGTTGCACGATTTTCAGCAAGATCGACCTCAAATCTGGCTACCACCAGATTGAGATGGTTGAAGGCGATGTCCACAAGACTGACTTCAAGACTAGATACGATACTTGTGTGTGAGTATCTGGTCATGCCTTTCGGTCTTTGCAATGCCCCTGGCACATTCCAGCCAGAGATGCATTGCATACTCAGGCCTTACCTGGATAGATTTGTAGTTGTGTACCTGGATGACATCCTGGTATTCAGTCGATCTATCGAGGAGCATGCGCAACATCTGGCTATAGTTCTCCAGGCACTACATGACGCCCAGTATAAGATCAACAGGGAAAAGTCCTCCTTTGGAGTGACTTTTGTGACTTATCTGGGACATGTAATCTTTGGGGATAGGTTGGCTCCTGAAGCAACAAAGGTTGCTGCAATTCAGGATTCGACAGACTTTTACACGCCTCAAGGAGGCCTTGATGCGTGCACCTGTTATGAAGTTACCTGACCCTACCCCGCCCTTCGTACTAACTACTGATGCTAGCCATTATGGGTTTGGGGCAGTACTTCAGCAGGACAGTGGGCATGATCTGCAGCCTGTTGAGTATATAAGTAAGAAGATCAAAGTGAAGAAACTGCAGGATTCTACATACGAGAAAGAACTGTATGCTCTGGTGTCAGCGCTCAAGCATTGGAAGCATTTCCTCATGGGTAGGCACTTCAAGATCTACGCAGATCACCTTAGAGTGGATGAAGACCCAAGGGGAACTGAACGACAAGCTTGTTCGCTATATTCAGTTCATTAATCTCTTTGACTTTGAACTGAAACACAAGAAGGGCTGCTACAATCGTGTAGCAGATGCTCTTTCTCGTAGGCCTGACGCTCTCTATCTGATCTCCTCTACTCATACTTTTGGGGAGAGTACCCGTCAGACTTGCCACAGGACCCGATTTTCGGCCCTATTGTAAGGAATCTGCAGACTGGTCTTGCATTTGAACCAGAATATTTACTGGTTTCAAGTCTGCTATACACCTGCAGCAGAGGAGAGGAGCGTCTGTGCATTCCATAGGACCGCTAGTGAGAACATTCATGATGTGTGAGTGTCATGATGCTCACAGCCACTTTGGGGCCTTAAACCACCAGTACCCCCGAAGCAGCCTTCCCGAACCAATTTTTTGGGAATCTACCAAACCTCTTTGAAGATTGGAGCTGGTGAAGGGTAGAGACATTGCGGGTGACCGGTCCTTCATTGCTGGCGACCGGTACTGCTATGTTGGTTGTTTCTTATTTTTTTGCCCTTTCTCTTTTCTTTCCCGCCCGCCGTCCATCTGACGTCCTTTTTCTCCGTTCAGTTACATTTTCCCCCCTATGTGCGGATTCCATTGTCAGAATAGCCGTCGAAGGCGGGGAACCTCGTTAGCTCCCGAGGGACTGTGGTTGAGGGCATATTCACACTACCAGCCAGACCTGGATGAATCTGACCGCAACCAGGTCCAAAGCTGTGAATAAAAAGTCATCTTGTGAGTACGCCTTCAAATGGGACGCGTCATCCTTGCACCGGACTATGCCAATCTTCTCTGCATGATCCCGTGTTCTAACGGAAGATTCACTCAGTTTGCTGAAAAAGGGGCCTTGTTGGGCCACTCACCACATGCACAAAAGGACAAAACCCACGTGCAAGCCTCCACCCTTAGCTCCCAAACGGGCAGATTTGCCGGAAAAAAAAAAAAAAAAAAAAAAAAAAAAAAAAAAAAAAACCTTCCTGTATCGACCCATGATCTTATATAAGGTTCATTCTCATTTTGTTGAGACTTGTGCAGCAAGGGTTCCTGTTCGTAGTACGAGGGGCCTCGCTCAACCAGTCAGTGCAGTCACCACATGATGCACAAAAAGACAAAAACAATGACAACTGTTTTTTTGTTTTTTTTGGGATTTTTTCCTTTTTTTGATTTGACTCATTTTTCAATTTATTCGTGTCCTTGAGCAGGGTCATGCTAATCTTCTCTGTAACATCCATTGATTTTGCGGCAGATTCATGCTCGCTTTTTTGTTTTGGACTGGAGGGCAGCGACGCCCCAGCTTGTGTCGTGACTCACAGGCCGCTGCATGCGCCGTGGTGAACGCCAATTTCTTTGCTTTCTTTTTTTAGTACGTCTCTTTTTCTTTTTTCTTTTTTTTCTTGTTTACCTCACTGTTGTCCTCTACGGTCGGTCGTTTTCGAAACGAACGACCATCCGCATGTGGCCCGAGCCTGTACCAAGCCTTTACCAGGCCTGCCTACGTCTTCCATGAATTCAGGATGTCGGGAAATTTTGCGTGGGCAGGGTACTGGTAGTTTAAAATCGCTGACAGCCTTGTCGCAACGATTCTTCTGGCCACAGATGAGGACTGACCTGCTGCACTATGTCGAAACCTATGAGTTATGCCAAAGGAACAAGGTTGTGCGTGGACCTCCCCTTGGCCAATTGCAATCGCTTCCCATCCCTGATGCACTTGCAAAGTCAGTGTGTATTGATTTCACTGACCTGGGGAGGACTACTCCTCGCGCTATGCGTCAGGTCATGGTATGTGTGGACAAGCTTTCTAAGACTGACGCCTGGGACTGCGGCATTCACTAGACAGTACGAGAGGGATATCGAACGAGCCAGAGTTAACCTGCTCAAAGCCCAAAAGGCTATGAGCAGACTAACAAGCATCGTCGACCATCCCCCATTCGCGTTGGTGACTGGGTCAGGGTATTCAATTTTGAGCTATCGCGAGAGGACATTTCGCTCAGGCTGTTGACGCGTTATATGGGTCCATGGCAGGTCTTGGATACAATGGGAGCTGACCCTTTCGGGCCATCTTATTACGTGGATGTCCCACTGCATCTACAAACCTACCCAGTCTTTCATGCATCCAAGCTGCTGCCGTTTACTCCAGCTGATGCATTTCCAGACAGGCCTCCTGAATTTGACCCCCCTATCCCTGGGAAGGGGTACGAGGTGGAATCAATTGAGATGAGCATGGTACATGCCTGGATAAGGAGTACCTTATGAAATTTCTTTACCAGCCCCATACTGAGGATCGTTGGTTCACCCGCAAGAAACTTTTGAAAACAACAAAGTCTGCTGTCCTCAAATACGAGGCTGCGCAGAAAGGGATTATCCCTCGGCGCTCTGCACGCCTATGCCCCTAGCTCGGAGGTCCCCGCTCCGGGGGAGGGTAGGTCTGCAATGACTTGCTGGTTCCAGGTTGCTTGTGGCCTTTCTCTAGCGAGGCTGTACCATACGTAGGGACAAATTCGTAATTTTGTTTGGTTGAGGGCTAACCGAGAGACCTACTTGTAAGGAAAATTCGAGGGGGACATACTTGTAAATATAGGAAATATGGACCCAATACTAACTCGAATTTCCTACAGCTACCCTAACTGCGAATAGCAGACCCGGGCTACCCCTAGGATAGATAGGCCCAATAGGTGTACGCTGATAGACGGTCCTATAGCCTATAGCCGGGTAGGGAGAGGCCCTAAGGGCAAAAACAGAAACGGTACCGGTCGGTCAGTCAGTACAGTCTAGGCTAGGGTAGAGTATAGATAGGATGGGAACATCGGTCCGGGGCTTTTGGCAGTTGGCACTTCGTGGTGGAAGTTGCTGCGCCCGCTGCATCAGGTCGTGGTGACTGATTCATGCGTCGGAGACGACGAACATAGCCAGACCTTCGGAGCGCTGACCGAACTCGGGTCAACGCTGTCCGCTCTGACTCTCTGGGAGTCAAAGCGGTCTGGGCTATCCGAGGTCTGATGCGTTGGAGCACGTGGTGCACTGCTGACCCTCCTCAGGGATAGGGTCCCACTGGCGATGCAGCCATAGCTGCATCTTCTCAGAGATTATCATCGTTTGGACTTCATTTTCCCCAGCGACGTTGGTGCTGAGCTTCTTCCTCATCATCTGAGTGCCGATTGGCTCCGGGAGCCTGTTTCATCTTGGCGCAGACCACTAAGTTGGATGTCAAGGTGGCGCTGGGTGTTACTCGGGGTTTGGGTGCTATTTTTAGCTGTTCAGTGTGTGTGGGGTTGAGGCGCTATCCCTTTGAGGGTAGCGCAACGGGGTTCTGAGGTTATTCAATGGAACGATGCTCTGAGTTTAATAAACGGTTTTAATATTGTGTTTAAGTTGTCATCTCTTCAATGATTTCTGGCTGTGATCTCTCGGTTGTCTTCTATGAATGATTGTTAGGACTTTTGTGGAGAGAATCCATTGTGTTGTGTATTTCGTCACTTCGCTTTTCTGAGTCTTCCGCTGGGTTCCTTTTGTTGGGCGGTGTGACACTCCACTACCTCTCCCCTTCCTTCTGTGCACGTATGGGCGTGTACAGGAGTTCCTGTGAGTGAGCGTTGACAAAATTTCAACGGACAATCATGTTCATAACACACACACACACACACACACACACACACACACACATATACACACAACCAGTCTGGTACAATCATGCTGTTCTGAGTGTATAGCGAATATGACAACACACATACACACACACACATACACACACACACACACACACACACATACACACATACATACGTATCGTCATAGAGAAAGGTTCAGTGAACCATAAGCAGAGAGGGGGAAGAGGACAACAACGAGAGTTGTGACAGACAGTTTCATCGGAGTTTCTTCTTCCTCTTCTTCTTCTTCTTCATTTGCCCCCCCATGCCGGCTGATATCGGCCCCTCCTTTGTCTTCGTTGTCTATATTGGGACGTCGGCAGGTTCGTTCATTCTCTCCTCCCCCTAGTCCCCCTTTCTCTCAACGTTGTGTTGATGCTAATCTGCCGGGTTCGTTGTCTTACCGACAGCCTGCTCCTCCACGTCGACGGCGTTTGTCATTCATGCGCCGACCCCGCCAGATCAAACCTAGCTTTCCAGTGGTGACGGAATCGGATCTGCGGGCAGATCTACCAAATGCTTGTGGCTTGACAACCACAAATGTCTGCCTAAAGGCCTATCAGCGTCAATGTTATATTGCTTCCCATTTGTTACGATTGCTTATGAGCTTGACGCTGTTGAAAATCGGTTGTTGTATGATCATAATGGTCCACCTCCTGAGGGTAGGGAGTAACTATACTCTACCTCAGGGGGCTTTACTGTAATTGTCTTACAATTAGCGTTCCATGGTCGCCACCTTCTTATGCATCATGCAACGCCAGGCGATGACCTTAATGACCATGCTCCTCATATTTTTGCCTGCGTTTTGCACAGACGCGGGCATTATATGACACTCGTTCGCACAGCTGTGACGCCCTAACCTCACGCCCAACGCGACTTCCTAATCGGAGTGGGATGGGGGCCCGAAAGTGCGAAAAGGGGGTGTGCCAAGGATTTTAGGAAAGTAGGGGTGGAGTCCCAGGTAGGAATCGAGATCTCCGGTGGCAAGTTTAGGGACAATGGTGCAAGATGGTACGCGAAGATCGTATCTGGCGTTTCAGCCCTCGGGGATGGGACTATGGTCTCTGCCAGTTGCGTCGCCGCGGCCGGTCCCTTATCTGGCGGACCGGTGGGACACCATGACTGTCGCGTTGTTCGAACAGTTGTCGGCGCCACTCGTAACAAGCTTCGGAATCTGACGAGGCTGGCCGTAAGCGGAGGCTGTGTAATTGCTGCTTGACTTCGGTTCGGGTTCGTCGGATAAGTCCCGAAGCCTGGTACGCCTGGTACCGCTGGCACTCTTCGCACAATGGGCGGGGCCAATAGCGAGCTATGGAATTCCACGGTACCACTGTGAGCCGGTGATATGGAAGG